GATTAGGTAGGTTAGCCTGCATGTGGTTCGGTAAGGGTGGTTTATGGGGGTTTGGTGGGTTAGAGGTAGGTTGGTTAGTTGAGGTAGCTCGCTCATGCATAGGATTAAATTATTTCAAGAAATAACAAACGACTAAACTTGTTTATCCCAGGGTTAGGTGGATTAACCTGCTGATAGTCGACGGTGGTGGTTTCTGGGGGTGAAACACCCCTTAAATATATTTTTTTTTAAATCCGGAAACGCGTCAATTTAATTTTGATATTTCTTCATTATCAGTGCGATTTTTAAATCACTCGAGCTGATTTACTATATTACATGTCGTAAAACAGTACAAAAAATAGTGTATTTACCCCTATTAAAAAGGGGCCTGCAACCCTTCGGTATAAATGTTATGTCCTTAAAAGCGCCTTTTTATAAGAAATTTTTGAACGTTAAGTTTACTGAAAAATATTCATTTGATGCTGAGAAATATTAAAAAAACTGATTTTACGGGTTGATTTTCAGGGTGGATTTCACCCCTTAAAAACCCTTATGGGCCGATAAAAAAAACACGTATCTAATTTTTTTTCAAGTACTACAACATATCCCAAAATCATTTAAATCAGTGAGGTCGGGTTGGGGTGGTTCCCTTGTAAGAGCTGTAAGAGAATATAATTCTCATTATATATAATGTTAACGTTATATAAATACTGTAAATAATAATATGAAATTGGTTTATTTAATTTATAATACACATAATTGATATAATTGTTGTCTATTGATTTTTTTACAATCTTTACCACTCCCACATAAAAATTATGGAAGAAAAAAAAATAGTTTTGACGAGTAATTGAAATTTAAATTACGAAAAAATAAGTCTATATCGAAAAAAAAAATGGTTTAAATAAAAACGGCTCTTTCTATGATTTTCGTTGTGGTCTTAAAATATTCCTAAAGTGAGACAGAACAACATCCCGAAGAAATCGGGAAGGTGCAAGAATTTTAGGTCGATGTCAGTTAAGGCACACTCTGGCCTTCTTTGGAGCAGGTTAACCTTTCACAATCCACTGTTTTGACTTATCCTTTGTTCTCAGAAGTATTGTGGTGTATCCACATTTCGTCTACAGTTATGAATCGAAGCAGAAAGTCATTCGGATTACGGTGGATACGCGCCAAGAAGGCCTCAGCGAACACCACTCGACTGCGTCTATACTCGACTAAGAGCAAACGCGGCACCTATCTTGCCGAAATTTTTCTCATATCCAATTTCTCGAAATTGAAATGACTTTCTCTTTTGAATCCCCTGTGGCCTCAACTATTTAGTGCAAATTTATTCTTTGGTCACTCAACACCATGCGTGGACTTTATTGATCATTTCCGGAGTGCTCGTGTCTAGAGGACGGTCTGAACGATGTTCATCTGTAGTGGATGTACGGAAACGTTTAAATTCATTTACCCGATTGTAAACAATTGCAAACACAGGGGCAGATACACCATGAACTGCATCTAACTTAGCTTTGATTTCTTTCGGTGTAGTTGTGTAAAAGTTTTATCACCGCTCGGAACTCACTTATTTTAATTGTTAACAAGAAACAACAGTTGCTCACTTTTATCGACTATAAAAATGGAACTACTTGATGGATCTGGCTGAAACTTCGGCAGCACTTAATTTAATAGTAACGCTTGCTGGTGCTACATAAGTTGGGATGCTTTGAGCGCCATCTCTTGGATTTTCTAACGACTTAATGACCCACCTTCGTACTATTTCAATCATCCACACTAGTTTTATATCTGTAAAAAAAGTCTCATGGGGGTCCGTAATAGGGTTTTTTCGAATTTTTAGGCTAAATTATCAGGGTATTCTGAGGTTACGATGCAATTTCAATAATAAGTATCGATTAGGTGATCCAAAGGACAATAATAGTACATTACGATACAAGTACGGGAAAGTAGATTTTGGTCTCGTGTGGCATTTACGCCCGAGCGAAGCGAGGGTGGAAAGGTACACGAGACGAAAAGCTTTTTCCCGAACATGTGCCGTACCGTATTTTTTTATACGACGTGTGGAAAGTGCGATTTTCAACGCACGTTTTCTGCCGAGCATGCGGGAAAGACGCATTTTGCGCACGGAGTGTCGAAAAATACGTTACATCGATATTTAAAATGAATCACTATTTCCAAACTTAAGGAAATTGCTATAACAATAAAATTTAAATGGCCATATCTTGAACAGAAAAAAAGATATTCCAAATATAAAAAAAAGGGTTTTAGGTGAGTAAGAGTGCTCCTTTGAGATAGTGTACACAGTTTTCCAAAAAGAATTTATTCAAGTTGTTATTGTACCTCAAAAACAGCCAAAAACAGTATTTTTTACACTTTTAAGTTAGGATATTTAAAAAAACTTGATGTGATAGAATAATTCTAAGGTCAGATTTGAATTCAGCGACCAAAAATTTATCGAAAATAACTAATCTCATCTAATGAGTAAATTTCACATCGGGCTGTGTAATTAAAATTAGAATGTTAGCAAGTAATAGTACTAATTAAAATTATAATATTTTTCTTCAAATTCGAATTTTTGAATATTAATGAAAAACTTTAAATATCTCGTTCATTCTCCGTCGTCACATCACGTGATCATCCCTCAACCGACTAATCAAAATCATTATACATTTCAAGTATGATTTTGGATAGGATGAAGAACATTACTTGATATACTTTCCTTCCATGAGGTTAACTCTTGTTTCATATACCTGTTTCTTTAGGTTCTTGTTAATCGATATGAAATTGTCAAAATTATTTTCATTATTAATCAACAGAAAAATATTATCTCTTCCTACGTTCTTACTATATAACAGTTGGTACTCGACAGCCAGTCAATATGCAATCAATTTTATAATATAACTACAAATTCTTTTATTAAACAATTTTATGTAGATAGGCATCCAATAAATGTATATGTTAATAAAAGTTCTTTATATTAATTTAATTTCGTTTCACTACAGATTTAAAAGAGTACAAAAAGAAATAGGTGACAGAGAATTCGTGAAAAATATTAAGTACCTCTGGATAAAACCAACCTCAGAATTACGTGCTAAGATCGAACATCATATGGTAGGTAAATTTTATACTAATAATAATAAAGAATCAATTTTCTTACACAAAAGTAAAGACGGTAAAGTAACTAACGATCATAAAAAAGTTTGATGATAACTATAAATTACAGTATTCATCTAATAACGAGTTTAACTCTTGTAATAATATTAATAATGAGCAACAACTTGCTGAAGATAGAAGTGAAGTGAATAAAAATAGTGAAGTTTCAAGTCATGAAATAGTAAATAAATTAAAAGATATTGTTAAGTTTGACGACCTGCGCCATTAGAGACAAAAAAATATTACTGGTGATAGGAATTGTTTATTTAGATGTTTATCTGACTTATTACATAATGATAAATCTTATTATGAAAAAGTCAAATAATGTATAGTTAATTACACATCGAAAAACTGGGAATCAGAATTATCGTCGATGATGTATTCTAATCACAGTATCGTTAAATACAGTAAAAATCATTTCAAAATATTTTTCTAATAAGGAACCACAAGCGAAACTTGAAATTCACTCCCTTATAGCCGTGAATTAGAGAGGCGCATTAGGGGTAGAAGATATACGTTCCGAAAGGCGAACATTTTTTTCACAAGTCCTCTTTAACGTTACCTTTATTATGATATTAAAATCGTTTCAAAATTTTTTCCTAATAAGGAACCACACTTAAAAACTTATATTAACTATCTATTAGTATAAAAATGCTCTGTGGAGGGTAGTTTCAGGGTTTTTACGGTAGACGATTATTTTGCTATGGAGTCTGGCAGATATGAATTTTGAAAAAAGTTATCGACCTCTTAAAAAATTTTTCTTAATGATGTATCATATGATGAAAGTTACTTGGTCTATGATATCGTATAAGCGTACCGAATTAAGAGTTATTGTAGGGGATGTAATTGTTGTAGAGAGTTTTCTTTACATATATGTTATTTGGGTAGTACCCTGAAGCCTTTTATCGCGAAATAGACTTTGATTTCAATTCTCGATTTTTTCGTCCACCTTGAAAGTTCCGAATTTCAGACTCGTAGTCATACATATAAACATAAACGTATTTGCATACACACCTAGACACACACACACACACATTATATTATAATTAATTTAATTTAATTATAATTTAATTATAATTTATTTATAATTTTAAAGTATATGAAAAATTCAATAATAATTGTAAAAACATCATATTTTGATCTTATACTGGATAAAATATTGTCAATAATGAAATAATTTACATTAATTATTTAATAAATAATACTTAAAAAATTGATCTTCATAAGACGTAAAAAATTATAAGGCTATCATGTTTAATGTGTTGTTGGAGAATAATATTTTCCAATTGTTATCATATAAACCTGTGAACTTGTAAAATAAACCAATGTTGATTTGCATATTTTCAAAATTTTTATAAGTAAAAAAATTGATGATTTCTTCCTATTTTTACAGTTACAAATACATATTATTATAAATATCGTTTACTAATTTACTTTGAAGGATCATATAAGGAGTGAGTATTTCAAATATAAATTCATGTTAAATAATTTATATAATAAATTCTTACAAAAAAATTTGCAAAGTATGTTTATTTTAATTAACAGTTACAATTAAAGCTACAATTTGGATAGGTTAAGATAAGTAAACATAAATATAGAATCATAAAAATAGTTTTAGTTTAAAATATTATTCTTAAAAACAACAAAAATTCTTTCAAGTATTAATACGATACTGGGAAGGTTTCTGACATGGTATATGTTTATACATGTGGAAAATAGATTCTTTTATACATAAACATAAAGATTTAAAAATTAAGAAGTTTTTAAAATTTAATTTTGAAATATGTACAAAAACTTACCACTGCAGAACACTGATAAGGAAATAAAGGATTAAAGGAATATAATTAAAATTTGAATCAACTTACAAGATATAGGCTCCCTTGGCAGATTGCTAGTGGGAAAGCCCAATGACTCAAAATATGTATGTATTGCCTGGCAATGAAGCCTTTGCAAATGTGGTTGAGGTTTGAATGTTTGCTGTAGCTGTGTTGACGTTGAGGATATACTAGCGGCAGGTAAAGCTGTAGCTACTATATTGGTTCTCATGCAGCTCACAGTAATAAGCACAGAGAGTATTAATATTATCCACCAAACCTTTTCCATTATTGACCTTAACCACTGCATTTCTATGAAAATTATTCTACGCTTCACTTATTTGATTCAAATCACTGATAAAACACCGCTATTTCATGAAAATACACTTTATTTATATGATTTAACTCACTGATGAAACAACATTAGTTCATGAAAATACACCGCTATAATCCGAGCAATATTTACCTCTTACTTCATTTAAGATGTCTGCTTTATCGTATTCTATGTTCTCATACACGGATGTTTCGCCAAAGTTCTCTTAAGCATATAACAATAAAACAATAATGCTTTTTCTGATATACAAAAAGAAAGACAAGAGACAAAAAAGCGGATGAACCTGCTCGCTACTTGGACTCTGGACCGGTCCTGTTTGTCGTGGCTGTGAGTGTAGTGGCGACGCCGGCGGCGGCGCAACTTGTTCACCAGACTTTAACTGTACTATACGGTCTGCAGGTAGGTAGAGAAATGCAACGTGTTGGCGTATACACCGAATATATGTATATTGAACACTGTATAAAGCGATTCTACTATATACCCATCACCATACATACCAAGCTCCTTATTTTTTTCTTTTCTGCTCTTTTTCACTCATCTTTGCTATGTATCTGTTCTCATAAGCTGTATGTGTTGGTAGGCAATGATATTCAGCATTCGGCCTCGAACGACCGCCCTAATGTAAACATGCAAGCAAACGCTTCCCGCCTGAATAAGACCATGTAATTTATCATATGACATTTTTGTATGATAAAGCAAATGAACTTATTTGAAATCAAATAATTATACTAAACAATTATGTACATAGGTTAACGGCATATGATCTCACGTAAAATTAAGTGATAAAACAGAACCGCGTATATAAAGCACGACATAATTTATGCCGAATGATGTGAGTAAAAATCCATACGAATTTGTGTGGCTGTTTTAGATATTTTAATTCTATAGTACGATCTAGTATATTTTTATTCCCTAAAGTGCTTTATAACAGACCGAATTATTCAAACATGCTTTAAATTAAACTCAAAATTTTTTTAATTATTGAAGTATTCTGTTTATCAAATTCCACTTAAAGTGAATAATGTTGTTTTTTCTTACAAAAGAAAATCTTAAAAAGTCAAGCTTGTAAACACTTTGATTGGTCGATTGAAGATGGAGATTTAGATATTTTATTATAGCTTATACGATTTGACGTAATTTGTCTCGAAAGTTTTGAAATAACATGTGTTTTATTTAATGAATATATTTGATACACACACACATATATATTTGAAATATATTTGTACTTATGATATTTATTCTGTAAATACTCAAAATGATTCAGCTGATTTTATGATGAAAAATTTACCAAAGCCTAAATTTGAATCTCTAAAAGACAAACTCAATATTGTACCACACTGACTACGCTGATCGAATCAGCAACGTTTCTGAAACATTTCTTAGAAACGTAGGAACGTTCCATCCAAAAGCATCAGAAATATTTCAGAAACGTTGATACTACCGGGAAAATATCTGACTTCATTTCCAAGAAACTTTCAGGAAACATTTTGGATAAGTTACGGGAACACAGCAGAAACGTTCGAGAAACCTTCCAAGCCGATTTTCCCGTGACCCCGACGGAAAATTGTAGAGATTCAGAAACTTTGCGAGAATGTTTCAGAAACCGTAACAGCCGATCGTTTGCCCGTGCTGACGATAATGCACGTGGATTCGTAAACGTAGGAACATTTCGCTAATTAGTTTATAGTTGTTTTAGGATTGGGTAGCGTTAGAAACGTTTCTCCCACTTTACTTGCCAATTTTTCAGACTATGAAAGTTTTGCTTCAAAGTTTCGAAAGCGTTTCGAAAACGTTTTTGCAGCGGTATAACATGATTTTTCTCTAGGAGAAAATCAGATCTACTTTTCTTAAACGTTTCAGAAGCGTTTCTTTCTCATTTGTTTTTAATCAGAGAAACGTGTTACTGAACCATTTCATAAACTATCTTTTAAAAATTTCATTTTTCGCTTTTCTCATCGTTGTAAACGCATAAGAGATTCACACATGCTAAAGCAAAATATTTTCTTTCATTATTATTATAAATTTTTATTTATAATTAAATACAAAATTGAAGACAATTGTAAAAAAGTATTAGATAGATCTGAAGAATATAACTGCGTCTAAGCCCATCAAGCAATCACACAACTCGCCCTATTGAAAATAAAGACGTCTATCAGAGATGTGATTTCATTTCTTAAAATGGAACATTTCTAGACGTCTGTTATTCCAACCAAAATTATTTCTCTTATAAAACGACGTCATTTTATACAGCAAATTCATTTAGGCTTTATAAAAAATAACGTCATCTTTTACAATGAAATTATTCCGTATATAAAAAATACGTCATTTTCCACAATAAAATCATTTCTGTTTATGAGAAATGCCGTCATCTTTTACAATAAAATTATTCCGTTTATAAAAGAAGACATCATTTTCTCAACAAATACTGTAAATCATGTATAACATTTTATATGCCTTACGCACAAAGACGTCATGTTCTCACTGAAACATATTCGCCATCTGTGAAGACGTCTTCTTTTAAAAGAAATCTTTTTTGAAGATCGCGAAAAGACGTAATTTTATCTTGCCAAATATTTCCCGCGCTGAAATAGCGTCTTTTTTAACAAAATCAATGTCAGTATACTGATGATTAATGAAGTCTTTTCTGTAGAATGCAAAATTGTTGCAATAAAATACTTTATTTCGAGGTAACAATGTATTACATTGTATTAAATTCCTAGAGTATTTTATAAGGAGTTTTATAAATAATATATAATACAAAAAAATTAGATTTAATCTTCGACCTCGTCATCATTTTTCATTGGACGTTTAACCCCTGATCCTGATTCTCCTCCTCCTCCTCTTCATCTTGTAATAAGTCTAGATCATCAGGGTTACATTTTTCCAACTTCAGGAAATACGAATATCTAGACGCATCAATAATTGTTTCTAAATCACGTTCGTAATGATTTATTAACTTTTCTTTCTTTTTATCCTCTTCTTTGGTCTCTGGAAACGATGATATTAATCCGTGCCTAATTAAATATAAGGTGTACGCTCTTTTAAAGAAAAAAAATTAATATTATATAATTTTTAAGATTTAACAAAGTACTTTTACTTACTTTTACTTTTTAAGTATTTTTACTTAGAGATTCATCCTAGGACATTATTTGCAACCTTGTCAATATTAACTGCTAATGATACAAATAGGGGTTCATCTTAAATGTAAAAAACGAGTTTCCTCAGAAAGGATGTAGCAGATTTCATCTCAATAGCCAACTTCCATTTGCTGTAAGGTACTGATACTCTAAAGCAGAGGTGTGAAATTGTACGATCTGTAATAAAAAACAAGACAATCATGTAAATATTAGTAATATTGTTTGAATTCAATAATAAAATTATACATACCGTCTTTGTTTTTCCAGTATTTTCATTCGTTTTATTGCAAGTGTACTCAGAAAAATTCTCTCTTTTTTTCAGCTTGACGTTTTTTTTACAATCTTCTGTGTAATCATAAGATAATTGCTTAGTTTCCTTCACATAGATATTTTTCTTCATTGTTTCTATATCTTTTTTTTGTACAATTGCCGATTTGCTTTTAATTTTCTTATTTTTGTCATTTTGAATTTGTTCAGAGACTTGTCTTTTTGGAGATTTTGACACTGATGTTTCATATGTTTCAGAGTTTGATGTAACTTCTGAAATATGTGAAGTAAGAATTTATAATTATTTATATATTTATATATTATTATTTATTGTTCATAAATTAAGAATAAAAATATTTACTTTTTGGTTTGTCCATTTCAAGTTTCTTTTGATTCAGTTGGCCTAATCTTCTTTTTGGAACTGGTGTGCATGATAAGAGACTTATCTGTTCATTAGCAGTACTAGATATACTCGGCACAATGGAACCAGGTGATTTATTTGTTAGTCTGAAAGAGTAGAGGTTGGAATTTGTAGAATTGCTTAAACCTTTTAACCATTCCGGTGTAGTAATACGAGTAAGATTGACTAGCGGCAACAATGCCCACACTTCTGCATTTTTTCTTTTTCCAGAATTTGAGTCAGCTTAGCGATTAGTATGTCGTCTTTAGCTTTCAAATCTTCCAGCGTGGCTTGTGGCGCACTAGTTTATGCATGCAGATCGAATGTTAATGGAATTTCCATACAATCAGCTGCGCCAGTCTTGGCAGCTTTGGCTGTCTCAAAAGGAAGTGACTATGTGACAATTGACACCTGAATACATAAAAAAAAATTATTTTTATACTTACATACAATTATCTTACATATTTCACATTTCTTAAATTTGTGTTGAAAAAAGAGTTACAGAATTTAAATGATTTTTTTATTATGATATTTCTTCATTATATACAATCTGAATAACTTAATGAGTTCATTTTTTCATGTGCTATAAGCTTATATTTTTTTCTATTTCAATAAATTGGTTCTTCAATGAGAGGGGCTAACATGAGACAAATCATCGATGAATTGACTCATATTACTCCATCACATTGAAGAACCATTTTATTGAAATGGGAAAAAAGTAAGCTCATAGCACATGGAAAAATGAACTCATTAAGCTATTAAGATTGTATATAATATATGAATATTATAATAAAAACGAGATGTCGTTAGGTCTTGACAAAAACCATCAAGTAGGAAAAAAATTTTTATAATATATTCCAGTTGTGGGTGTATATATATATGCTATACATACCTTTTTACCCTTCTTTTCATCATTTTTACCCTTTGACTTGCAATGTTTTACTTTTCTCATTCTGATCTTTACCTTTCTTATGAAACACGACTTTTGTTTGAGGACTTGATTTATCATGTAGTACTCTATTAATTAAAACATCACTTCTACGCTTGTTTGGCTTAAGCCACCTTCCTTTTTTATTCTTAAGATTCTTCTTGTAGCCTGAACAAAAATAAATATGAAAAATAATTTAGTTGTGTACAATGAATATATATTTTATTTCTTTATACTTACTGGACACTGCTAGAATACAAGCATCTTTAAACATCATATCACCTACTTCTATATTCAATCCGGTCTGCACAAGTACATTATAAGAAAAACTAGTTTGTTCTTGGTCAAAATCTTTAATCTTTGCCGTGTCAATGAATTCTACATCACCTGTTTCTTTGTTCCTAATATACAATCTGATTATTGCAAATAAAAATTTCTGCTTTCAGGGACTCCTCTGGAGCTACATTTTCTCAGACATATTACTGTCTATAGTGCTAGCTCCATCAGATACACCACTATACAGTTTTACTTCAGTATTTTTTGCTACATAAACATCAAAATGAATAAAATTAAAGAGTTACAATTAAATGAGATAATTATTCCATTATAGACATATATTTATAATTGTGAATATAACATAATAATCTGCTGTAACTTGAATTGCTGAATGATTAATTTTATCTTAAAATATTAAGCATTTTCTTTTAAAAGATGGATATATGAAATATAAAATACCATAAATAATGCAATTTTAATAATGCATTAAATTCATATAATTTTTTTCCATGCTATTGTAAAATTAAATTGTATATAGGTATGAGTTAACTTTTATCCGATATAAAACTATGATAAATCAATTTACAATGACATACCAAATTTTAAGAACTCATTATGAGTTACGAGTTGCACTGTCAATCATAATATTTTATAACAAAATTTGATATAAGACTACAAAAAGAAAGAAATACCTAAGAGTATTTAAAAGATGATGCAAATCAACACATTGAATTTCAACAAACCGTTTAAAATTATTATAATAGTTATGAAAGTTCGTTATTTTAAAAACACAAATTGTAAAGCATGTAACGAAATTTTATGGTCTCATAACGTCAAATAACTTCGCTAACATCAGTTTTTATATACAATAAATAAAATGAATTACCTGCTGTCATTTGGAAGAGTTTACATAACTAAAATGTTATACGATGCAGGTACAAAACAAAGGGAATAAGTCGAGCTTAACACTTCTGGCTATTTTCCTAGCGACGAACTCCCGCGGAAAACACACACGAGAAATAAAGAAGATACAGGACAGGACAGAGATTAGGGCCCTCGCCACATATGCGCATATGCGCGCGTACGAGGGCGTACAAACGCGTACAAATCGCTAAAAATGTTGATAATGCCAACAACAGAAACTTACTACTATTCCTCGCATGCCCTAAACGAACACACTTACTCCCGGAACAAACGTATCATAACGCTATATTATTGAAGGTTATGATCAGTGGTGGATAAATGACATGATTCGGAGGTTTCTTACCATACATGTAAGAAACCGGTAGAAAATGTAGAAATGAGTAATTAATGTATGTAATTAATGTGTGTAATTAATCGTATGTAACGTCGAAAACTCCAATAACCCATTGCGCATGCTCAAAACGTCATTGCGCAGGCGCATCTGCTACACAATTTAAATTTTAACATAACAGAACTAAAGTAACCCAAGTACTTCTTGGCTAAGTTCAGCAAAAAAACATATTTTTTCATATATTTTTGCAAAATTTGTAAGTTTTAATTCCATCACATAAGTTAGAATTTCAAAAGTATAAAAAGTTTTATCAATTATTAATATATTTTGTTTTTTACTTTCTAACCATAGCAGGTACGAATTTCGATATATATTGTGACGGTAAACGTCATATTAGCGCTGATAGCCTAACCTTGTAGCTGCCCGCGGGGGCAGCACCTACCGGTAGACGAGAAATGTAATGAGGGAATTCGGCACGCGACGAGACAGAACGCGCGCGATTGAAAATGAACGAGTGCAGGCCTAACTACCGATACGAGGAGCGGCAAGTGAAGGATCAGCCATCGACACGTTTAGCCGAAAGCGCGGAATAAATTGCCGATACACGAACCGAATTGGAGCTGCGACAGCGGAGCCTACGCCTGCCAGAAAAGCATGTGTGAGAGTGCGCGTGTGAAGAGTTTCGTCAGCAAGGGCGAAACCGAAAACACGAACTTCCTCGTGCAAAAAGGACAGACTTTCCCGCAACGAGAGTGCGCACCGTTTCTTTCGTTCTCTGTACGACTGCAATAAAAGGTAAGTTGGCCAGCTTAATTTCGCGGTCGCGATATAATTGCTACGCGACTAATACCTCGATTCGACAAAAAGCGTGCATGTAACATCACGGCAAACAAAGAGCGGCGAGCGATCCGACACTGCATGTTGTTGTCGTGCGCGCGGCATGTAAACATAAACACGCGGGCCGAATTTGATGTAATATTGAGAGATAATAAAAGTCCTCGTATGTGATATTACCAGTACTTTCGAAGTGTTCCTATCGTATTTGTAGATAGTTGGTTGACTGACACCCGTTCCCTCCTGCTCTCCGATTTTCATGTAAACGGTATCCACCCCGTTACAATATTTAAAAAAATCGATTTTATGATAGAGATAAAGATATTAAGATCGATAAATATTTTTTCCAGGAAATTTAGAAAACGTAAATTTAGATAAACTGCTTGGAAAATTTTTCTTTGGCTATAATATACCTTTTGTAATCGTCGAATCTATACATTTCAAAAATTTTGTTCAAACACTCAATCCACGTTTCGTTCCACCGACCAGAAACACACTATCAAACCGTATACTTAATGAATGTTACAATGAGATGCAAGAATCAATCGCAAATATAAGAATACGAGATGGTGTGTTATTAATTGATGGTTGGAAGAACCAGTCAGCTAATACGCAAAATGTTGTTGCTATTATTCGTTTAGATGATTTAAGCGAGAAGAAATATATATTTCTCCATGCAGCTAATTTTAGTACAGCAAGTGAAACTTACGAAGCACTTCGTTGGTTCGTTAATTATTGTATTGATATGACGAGAGAAAAGTACAACATTAAAATATTTGCAGTCATGGCTGATAATGTTGCAAGTATGAAGCTCATGGGAAGACTTGTTAATATATGGAACACAACTTGTAACAGCCACAGTGGAAATCTGCTAGCTAAAAGCGCAGTAAATGAAGAATTAGCTAAGCAAGTAAATAAATTATTAAAAGATTTTAAGCATACATATTTAGAACGATTGTTGACAAAGCTAGGAGGTAATCGTATTATTTTGAATGGACAAACCCGATGGTGCTCTCATCGAGATGCAATGCGAAGGTGCTTAAAAAATTTAGATTTGATGCGAGATATCTCAAGGCGACTAGATGCTAGAAAGCATATTTCTGACGACAATTACAATTTTCTTCACAATGAAGATCGTGCACAGCAATTGCAATTCAATCTCCTCATGCTGGATCCTATACATACAGGGTGTCCAAAAAGTTCCGGGACGCCCCAGTAAGTCCTGAGATATAACTATTTCCGAGGAGATTAAGGTCATTCCTGTAGTAACTTTGAACGAGGAATCCAGTGGTGACCTTGGTTTTGACCTTGAGCTTGACCTTCAAGGTCATTTCGACCTTGAAAGAGCTGGAAATTTTACGAAAGAGCTGGAAATTTTACGTCCAAAACGGTATTTTAAAATTTTTTTTCATGGCCTTGAGAAGATCGATTTAAGGTCAAATGCTTGAAAAACTGCCAAAAGCGTTTTTTCAATTTTTAAGATATCGAAAAATGACCTCTACAAAATTTGTTCAGAACAGAGTGGGCCACTCAATGCACCAAAAACTTTTAACCTTTAACCTCATTTTGAAGGTCATTTCAAGGTCGAAGTATTTTTTGTAATGGAAACCCCTCTTTTTGACCCCGGATTCGCACATAGCGCGAAATACGACGTTTGGATAAGGTATTATGTTGAGTTTCGATTGATCCACGACGTTCTTCGTTAAGGTCATGTGAAATTTAGATCCAATATTATTCGCGAAACATTTACAAAATATTTCGGGCTAAATTTATTAAATTCTACTGGGAGCATGTTAAAGTGACCTTATCTTTGACCTTCAAGATCATTTTAAGGTTATTTCAAGGTCACCTTTGATTGTTTGAATAATAAAGTAACGGGTTATCCAAACCGAAAGTCAAGTTGTTTTAAATGAGGAGCAAGCAGAGACATAGGTACAGTTTTTTTGCCGGATAAGTTTTTTCCACTCACTGCGTTTTGAATGTTTCTTTCTGATTTCGCGCTATGTGCGAATCCGGAGTCAAAAATAGGGGTTTCCATTACAAAAAACACTTTGACCTTGAAATGACCTTCAAAATGAGGTTAAATAGGTATTTTTGCACTCTGTGCTTCAATCGCCTAGTTGGAGAGACTGTTTTCAGAATGGTCGTATGTGCATTCAGCTAGAAGAAATCAATTAACATCAGCTAGGTCTTCTAAGCTTGTGACTATATACTTTGATACTCGTTTGTACGATAATTATGATCTAATAAATGACGATGAAGAATAAAAGATAATCATTTTCAAAAAACAAAATTAAAACAAATGTATATCAATGAGTTAATATATTTATTAATTACAAAAATTTTGTATTAAATTTAATGTATTTATTTCTTTGATATTACAAAATATCAAATATTCATTTTAAAAATGATTTTATTTATGTTATTTTTAATTACTATTTTATATAATCTACATAAATAATATGCCATAGAACAATACATTTTTTCAATAATGTAGTATTTTAAATAAATAAATATTTATCTCTATAAAAGAACAAAATTCTCATAAATTTTGGTTGTTCTCTAATAATAAAACTAAGTTGAAATCATTTTTTCTCTTTTCGTTTCATTACATTTCAGTAAGTAGAAAAGCTCTCGTATTTGCTTTTCCTGTATAATATCTAAATTTTTTGGTAAGTTTATTTTGAATTCTTTGTGATTCGAATAAGCAGGTATTTTAATTAATTTAAAACAAAATTCACTAAACCTTTTGTGAAATGGTTGTACTGTTTGGTAAAATATTTTGACATTTTCATATTTTTTTTTACATAGAACTTTGAAAATATCTATGTTGTCCTTGAATTTTAAGAAAGCACTCATAATATCTTCGTCCGTGTTACAAATAAAAAATTCAATGACAATTTTTTCGCTGTCAGGCTCAAACATTTTCGATTTTATGCCTTGATAAGCGGAGTGTAAGTAATTAGCTGCTATAGAAATAAAATTAAAATTACTTTTCAATTCATCTCTAATTAAATTACTATTTCTCAAGTTTAAATTTTCAGCTTTTATTTCAATATTCATGAAATCTTCAAGAGCATCTGCAATTATGTATTCAACTTTTTTATTAAAATGAGACATTTCCAGAACATCAGTTAAAACATTTATCACATTTTTCAAATCCGCACCAATTTTATTTTCAATTATAATAAGAAAAAATCTCACGAGTAAGCTCGTACTTGTTTTCTGTTATCATTTGACGCATTCAACTTAAATTTTTAGATACTAGTATGAGCACTTCATAAATGTTTTTGTCAATAGAATTTGTAAAGCTTATTTGGTTCAACCACCAAATTTTAATAATTCTTTTTCCTTTTCAAAGTCCATAAATTCGTTCACAATAACAGTTATGGTATCTTTTAAATTTTCATCTAAGATTAAATCAATAATTGAGTATATTGAGCTGGATAAACAATTGAAAAATCAAAAACTCCTATTAGCCTCTTCTAATCTAAGCATTCTTTCTGCGTTCTAAACAACAGCGTAAACTTTAGTACTAAACTGTTTTATTTTATCAATTGACACAACAATGAATGGTTCTATATGTATGGATAAGTCACTCCCTATTATAAAATATCTGCCTTCGTTGGCAAAAGTTAGACTCAAGATTTCTCCACATTCTTTTTGCCACATTCTTTTTCTTACTGTTTGAATAGCTTTTACTAAGTTATTGTAAAGTCCAGGTACAATTTGTTTAAGTAAATCAACCGATAGAGAAAGTTCATATTCTGGTCTTAATACTTTACATAACTCATAAAAGTAATTAATATCTATAAGTTCAATATCAATGCCTAAACTTAGAATAAGTTTTAGTAAGCTTTCATTTATTTTAAGTTTTGTCTTTTCATCAATGCAGTCAACGAATGATTTTCGTGATGCTCCTTTTTTTTGGTGGCTGCAGTAATTTATATGGTCCAACACTTGATACACTTTGTCTTGATACCTGCAAGAATATTTTTCATATAAGAACTATACAATTCCATCATGATAGCAATAATCACCAATTGAATAGCTTGTTCTGGCTCTGGCTGAAATCTAGACAATAGTTTCCTCTCTTTACGTTTTGCACTAGCGTTTGCAGATTCCAAAGCTGAGTTATAGTCGTTATCTTTTTCGACTGTAGAAGTAGAATTAAATTCTTCCACGTTCGTGGCCGTGACAGCATTTCCATTTACGTCATTCGAACTGACAGTAGTAGTAGTTTCACTGTCTGTGTGAAATATGCAGGATTTACTGCATAAAAAACATATACGAATAGTAAATTCTAGGTTAGCTATTAATCAACAATTTATTTTTCAAAACAAAATGAAAACAATATAATAAAATCAACCTACCGATGATTGCGGAGTCTGACTATAGGAGTGTTTGCTAAATCTCTTTTGCAAACTTTGCACCATGCCTTCAGCATAGTCACAGTGACTGAAGTATTATTTTTACTGGACACTTCTCTTTTTACGGGTTCGAACCCACCTTCTTTCCAATACGAGTGAAAATTTCTTCTGCCTCTATTCATTTTAAATAGTCTTTAGTAAAAAACCGCTTAAATTAATGCTGATTGTTGACACTGTCGTTAATAGACAAGAGGCACAGAACAAGTCAAAAAGGTATATATAAATAGGGTTATATTTATTGAGTCGGTCAATAACCATGTCAGCAACTATGTCATAAACTTTCTGGGTAATTTACCGGTTGATGACCTACCTTCTTACTAGCTAAGTTACCTATGTAAATTACCTACCCACCACAGGTTATGATACGTTTGTTCCGGGAGTAAGTGTGTTCGTTTGGGGCATGCAAGGAATAGTAGTAACTTTCTGTTGTTGGCACTATCAAAATTTTTAGCGATTTGTACGCGTTTGTACGCGCTCGTACGCGCGCGTATGCGCATATGTGGCGAGGGCCTGGTAGGGAGATTGCTGACGACAATGCTTCCGAGCGTGCTCGACAAAAAGTGATGAGAATCCGATGACGCTACAAAAAATTATATTTTCATGAAGTTATATCGTATCTACATTGTTTATATAACTATGAACAAGATTGGGTGTTCACAGAAAGAATTTGACACTCACAAAATGACACGAATTCTGACATATGGAATGTACGTAATACGTTGTTTTTAAGCTAAAAAATACTTGAGATGTTTAAATTAGCGTCTTATAAATACAATAATAGCAATAGAATACATATAACAACTTTCCGCAAAATGTTAGTCTTCAAATCTTATATAAGACACGAATAAAGCGGCTATCCATGTCATTCTGTGTAATTTGAAATCGGAGCTCACACAAATATTATTGAGATATTTTATTATCATAATTGATACTTAAGAATGCTACTGAAATGATTATTTAAACATTTCTAGGGGTTTTCAAGCTAAAATATCCTTTTATGTATATCATGCACATTTCGCTAATTTTTCTCCTACTACAGAATTTTTTCCACAGTATAAATCGAAATTTAATAAATATCCATCAGCAGTGCAAAGACCCCAAAATTTAAGTCCAAATCGCGTAGGTTTTCCGCGTATGAATTGCTTCAATGACGTTTTAGCATATGATTTGGCCATCATTTCATTTATTGACAGAGCAGTTCTCCAGAAACCAAACTTCAGAATATTTCTTTGAAAAATTTTCATCAATTCACGAACACGGCACGCCTTATCGTTTGGATTGTTATCTTTAGCCTTCGAGTACTTCAATTTTGATTTTATATTTTCAAATTTAGATCGTGACATTGCGGAAGAAATTATTTGACAAGACAAGAAGGGTCTGTCGACCAATAATCTCGCTGACTTTTTCTTTTATTGAAAGAAGTGATTATAATAATTCCAATGAATGTATTCAACTCAGCCAACGATAAATTTAAACCATTTTCTTTGCATGAATAGATAATATACTCCTTCATTTCAATTGAAAAAAAAATATCAAAGAGTTCCCTTGGCTCACTCTTTCGCATATTATTTTTTGCACTTTCTGTCAATAAAATTTTATCGGTACAATTATCGGAATATGTCCTTTCACCATCTACCCAATCAAATACATGTTCATTTTCTAGCTTCGCTTGATCTTCTTGATAATTTTTTGAAACTTTCTGGTTAATAATTCTCGGTAATTTTGCGTCAGAATAATTTTCAGAATCAGAATCAGTCACCTGATGAACCGGAATCATCTGCATTTGGTATCAAAACCGTTTCATCATCCTCTGAGGTTTCAACCTCAGACTCAGAAGAAACGGATCGTCTCGTACGCTTTTTTGACATTATTATGAATGTTATTGTGACGAACTATTCAATTGAAGTATTTTACTTGTACTATGGATAATAACTTTTTTTGCCCAATATGACAAATCGTATCTGAGGACTACAATGAATACGAGGTGTGTTCAAAAAGTAACGAGAATTTTTAAATTTCGCGGGTTTGGAGAGTCCGCTTGTATAAAATTTTTTTTTATTATGTTGGTACAATGCCCCTGAAGTACGATAAAATTTTCAGCAATATTCATTGCTTACTTTTTAAGTGGCAGCCGCTAACGTTAGACGTGTTTTTCGAGCTCGGCGATTTTCGTTTGTGAAAAAAAATGGATCAAAGAATTTGTATTAAATTTTGCGTAAAAAATGAAATAAAGTGTAGTAAAGTTTGTCAAATGTTAACAAAGGCATATAGTGAGTCTGCTATGAGTAAAGCAAGGATTTATGAGTGGTATAAGCGTTTCCAAGATGGTCACGAAAACGTTGAAGATGACGAACGACCCGGACGCCCAAGCACATCAACAACCGATGAAAACGTGAAAAAAGTGAAAGAAATGGTTATGAACGATCGCCGAATCACAATCAGAGAAGTCGCTGATGATGTTGGCATATCAGTTGGCTCATGCCATCAAATTTTTTCGAATGTTTTGGGTATGAAACGTGTGGCAGCAAAATTCGTTCCAAAATTGTTGAATTTCGAACAAAAACAGCGGCGAATGGAAGTTGCTCAGGAGTCGCTAAATGAAGTCAATAACGATGCAGAACAACTAAAACGTGTTATAACAGGTGACGAAACATGGGTTTACGGATATGATGTCGAAACTAAGGCTCAATCGTCCCAGTGGAGGCATTCTGGATCGCCAAGACCGAAAAAGGCTCTACAAGTACGGTCGAATGTGAAGGTTATGCTCACTGTGTTCTTCGATTTTAATGGCATAGTGCATTATGAATTCTTGCCACAAGGTCAAACAATCAATAAGCAGTACTACCTACAAGTTCAACGTCGTTTGCGTGAAGCAATCCGAAAAAAACACCCGGATTTGTGGCAAAACAATTCATGGCTTTTGCACCACGATAATGCGCCTGCTCACACTTCATTGCTTGTTCGTGAATTTTTGGCCAAAAACGAAACTGTAACGATGCCTCAGCCTCCATATTCGCCAGATATGGCTCCATGTGACTTTTTTCTATTTCCAAAAATAAAGAGAACATTAAAAGGCCGTCGTTTTACAAGCATAGATGACATTAAAAGCGAATCGCTGAAAAAGCTAAAAGCTATTACAAAGATCGAGTTTCAAAAGTGTTTCGAGGATTGGAAAAAGCGTTGGCATAAGTGTATTGTGTCCGAAGGGGACTACTTTGAAGGCGACAACATTAATGTAGATGAATAAATAAATATTTTTTTCATAAAACGAAAATTCTCGTTATTTTTTGAACACACCTCGTACATTGTATTAATACAATATATTAATAATACATTGTATTAATACAAATATTGAAATTTCGAATGTACATTGACGAAAAAACATTTCAAGATGGTTGACTAACACATAAAAGCAGACCAATTCGAAACGTTATTATCTAATGCCAGCAACAAGTGTCCACCATTGGAAAATGCATGTAATCAAGTTCAACAATGTTTTTCTCAAAAACTAAAGGCTTACATGAAAATTGCCTAAGAATAAAAATGTCTTAGAATTGATCAAAGAATACTCTCAAATTTTTTCAGATTTTTTGCAGACATTTTTTAAAAATTTGGTTTTAGCATTTTTCAAAAAATCAAAAATTGTCTCAAAAAAAACTGAAAAAATTTAAGAATATTCCTTGATCAATTCTAAGACATTTTTATTCTTGTACAATTTTTGTTTAATCCTTTAGTTTTCGAAAAAAAAATAATGAAGAAAAAATGCGATTTTATGCAATTTTTTGCATTTTGGCCGCCATTTTGGCAAAAAATACATATATGTAAAAATTTATCGTTAAACTTCAACAAATTTGTGCACCGATGGTTGATGATTTCACCATGAATTCATGCGATTTCTGCCTGAAAAAAAATCATAAAGTTTGAAAATGCGATTTTTTTGCAAAAAAATCGCCAGATCTTTTTTTGCAATAGAAATTTTCGAATTTTGAGCCCAGAGTCTGATTCAGCAGACAAAAATACATAAAGATTGATATGTCGGACCAAGTTATTACTTCGTTGAGTACCTGAAATTCAGCTACGAAAAGTTAGTCTAAAATCAACCGTCTTGGTCGTTAATGGGTTAATTAAAAAAAATCCACAGTAATTAAAGAGAAAATGATATATATTAAAAAAAATATATTTTATTTACTACATATCCGCTCAATAGCTACTGTTTTCCCGGCATAACTCATCCATCTCCCTACTCTTTGCCTCAATTAATTCGGTACCACCTTGATGAAACGCGCACATTTCATCCTCATTTTCCAGCGATTTGCGATGTTCCGCAAAAGGACACGTTATAAATCGAACCAACACGTCTTGATATTGATTACTTGAATTCAATACTTTGCAATAACGACACTCACGTACTTCTAATAACGGCACCTGGCATGCGGCGCAGTATCCAAAGGTGACTCGATCTTCCTGATTAAAACTACCATAGTCGATCTTAAACAGATAGAATGAATGTGTTAGTACATTCAGTGACTGCTCGAGACGGGCAGTGAAGTGAATCTTGGTTCCAGTATGTACTCCTTTTCGGTACTGTGGTGTTTTCTGGATGTTGCAAAAGTTCGTTATTGCTTCTTCACACAAAGCGTCTTCCTCTGGCTCGTTGTTGCGCCACTGTGAGTCCGGGTATTACTGGATATAGTAAGTGGTACCCTATCATCATTGCACCCATTTTGGACAGTTCTTGGAACTCCAGCGAGTTAGTGTACAGGAGTTCCCCAATCATTTCATAACTATTGGTCGGCTAGAAGAATCGTACTTTATCCCCATATTTACTAATGGTTTCGTTCAGCCAGCGGCGTCAGCCAGCGGCGAACTCCCTAGCGATAGATATGGAACGGCGCAGATGTCTTACAAAAATTTTCACTGATCTCGAACAATCCTAGAGGGTCTTGTTGCACAAAGCCTTCTTCGTGAAAGAGAAAATTATGTCAATATCCTCTTTCACTTATCAACTTGCTACTCACAAACTTAGCGTACATCTTTCTCACTGAACTATTTCAATTGCTACTCTGCTGTTTCATATAGACTAACGAATTTATTTTTCTCCGTTTGTTTTAGCACTTATCTTTTCGAATTTCCTACTCCTCTTTTTTTGCTTTTATCTTCCTAGATAATTACCATTTGACAATCGAC